AGCCTCAGTCCACGAACTTTTTGATAACCCCTCGTATTTACGAAAACAATATGATAAAGATGAAATGAAAAACTCAAAAGATATCATTTGTACAAAAGAATTTTGATAGATGTGGTTTATTAAATATATGGTTTGAGCACGAACAATATTTTTATAATGTAGAATGCTAGTCAAACAAAGATTAAAAAATCAATATATTAAAAAGTCAAATGTGAAGTTCAAGAATCTTCAAAAAGTTTAAATTATAGAATTTTAAAAATTCTATAATTTAAACAATTTGAGTGCGAAAAATAATTAATTCTAGCTGTTATCATATACATTTAGAAAAACTTTTGTTATGAATTAGAACCACAAATCACCACCTTCCAACTGAAACAGGTAGATGGAATGGTATTCAAAGAATTGAAAGAGTTTGTAGCTTATACAGTAGTAACCAGATAAGAGATGAATAACATTATATTTTAGAATGTAGTGCTTTAAACCAACTGAGGAAAGTTTATTTGAATTAAAAATATTGCTCTAATCCAAATATTATCAAGTTTTGGGAAGACATGTGCCAAAATGATGTTGATTCTTTGAAAAAATTATGAAAAATGAAAATCATCTCATAGTGTTTCAGTAAAATAAATCAAGATAATAACTTTTTTTTATCGAAAAGTGTTATCCAAGTGAAATTTCAGAGCTCAAGAGGTGGTTAAATCAATTCGTTTCGAAGCCTGCAGAAAATAGAGTCTTTAAGAAATCTTTTGCGCATGCCATCTATATTATTCCTTTTCTTTTCAAAGTTTGTTAAGAGCAGACCTGCTTATTTTCATAAGCATTAAACAGTTGTCATCCTGCACGTCTAGGACAAATAAAGGGAAAAAATGCGCCAGACATCGAGAAATTCCAAGACAAAGAGTCCATATTACAGAGCAAATATTGTAAATTCGGTCGTTGGTTACAGGTAGTAGAAATCGGCGTTCTTGTGGATATATCAATGAAAACACTGAGCATTTCCTCCTCTATTGTAAAAATTATACTGAAATAAGAACAGAATTATTTCATACTATTAAAAAATAACAAATGAGAAATAGACCTTGACAAAATTCTTTTTGGGGACCCAAACTTGGGTCAACAAAATAATATTAATATTGTTAAAGTATATCAAAAATTCGAAAAGATTTTTGAACAGCAAGTGTAACCCCACGTAACCATTCTGTATCCTTTACATCCCCTTCCTTCTTTCATCTTTCCTTCCACTCCTATTCCCCTCCTTTCTTATCACTCTGCACCCTTTTCTTCTTTTTTGCATTGTAGATTTGTTTGTTGTTCATCACGTGTATATAAATTTGTTTTTTCTTTGTTTGTGTTGGAGAGGACATTCTAAGTTGGAATAACTTGTGTCTGATCCCATTCATTATGTTTCAATAAAATATGTTTAAATCAGAAATCGGCGAATTGTGACAATGACGCGTGCCAGGGCTTACTCCGGCAACATAATTCAACCAAGTGACATAAGAACTCTGCAGCTTGGGCGGTGATGCAGAGTTAGGACACCAATTTTTGGTCTCCTGCATATGTTGACTGTTGATCAGTATAATTTTGCAGATTGCATTGCTTTCTCCGACGATGTACTGACTGTTTTTCCAGGCATCCTGGATGAAGATGGTACATCACAGGCACCTGACGTTACTTATTTTTCTTTAATTAAAAAAAAATACCGCTGCCTAATAATTATTGGGTAGAGATAATTTTTTTATTTAACGTCAAGTGCCTGTATGGTTCATCTATTGATTTTTTTCAGGGGTGCAAACATCTGTTCAGTAATTGTTATTTTCTGATATAATTTATATCGATATTATGGCCATGAAAAGTACGCTAAAATACATTGTTATGTATTAGTTATATTTATAATCGCTTTGTACATTTGTTAAATGGTTTTCCGATCATTGCCATATGTCGTGGCTTTTAATACATGTATATTTAAACTGTCATGATATACAGGCGCGGATCCAGAATTTTTTTCCGGGGGGGGGTCCACCCCAGTAATAAAAAAATCGAATCCCAGAATTTCCTTGACAAGCAAAAAAAAAACACCTAAACTCGCCCCAACATGAAAAACTTATCTCGTGGGGGGAGGGGGGAGGGATAAGTCTATGACTTCTATTTCCTAAAATCTTTCTCTTTTCATACCAATTTCACATCACAGGTACTTGTAGACAAGACCCCCCCCCCCGATATTCAACCCCGGGGCTTATTGGACATTTTTTTCAAAAATTGAAATAAAATGTCCAATAAGCCCCGGGGTTGAATATCGGGGGGGGGGGGGGGGGTCCTGTCCACAAGTACACCTGTGTTTCACACATATTCACGTTTACCGGGGGGGGGGGGGGGGGTGTCAGCGTTTTCCAAGGGAGATCCAAGGTAATTTTTTTTCTTGCTTTTGTATATGCTTTTGTTTTGACCTTGTAAATTCCAGGGGTCCTAACCCAACCCCCCACCCCCCTCTAGATCCGCACATGATATAGTATGTCCAAATAATAAATATTCACCTTTTCTATTTTCCTACCGTTTGTTGTATTTAAGTTAAATAAAATATCTAAGAACTAAAGAAGGAAGTTTGATCAGTTTGGTGTGCCATTCAAGGCTCCGCATGTCTCCACCCCTCCATTGTTTCTCTATTTTTTTTTAAAATAAAATATCCGTTTTCTACATTTTACACCATGCCTTAAATTATGGCGACGCTAAAGTACATCGAGGAAATAATAAATAATCTTCATTTAGTCAAGGCTTTTAAGTTTAAAAATATATTAAACCATCTAAGAGTTATTCTGTTAAATTACATGATTATATATGCACATTCTTGGATCTTAGGTTTTTCGTACAGGTTATTGTTAACTATAGCATTTTTAAAATTCTATTTTAATCAAATGCATCATGGGGTATATGCTCCATATATGCCAGACTATGTGTGGCTAAATCTGCTGCCTAAATGCTTTTGAATCGTATTTTGCATGCCTGAGTGATACCTTAGAAAGATACATACCATTGCTGAAAGGTACAGAAAATTGAACATAGTGCTAGGAAGGGTAATCTCTGGGGTTGTGAAAAACGAGTAATTGCCGCTCTACGTGGGTGTTGCTAAAACGCGGAACGGAAAACGGAACGGAAAGCGGAACGGAACGGAAAACGGAATGTATTATTTTGGATTAAATCACTTAAAATACACAAAATTTATCATATATTTTGTACATATTCAATCCCCTACTATTAAAAACAAGTTGATTTTGTCATGCTTAGTCTCTTTTTTAACGAAAATCGCTAACGTATAGCAGTCACCTAGAATCGAATATGAAAAGGGGGATATAAACGAACTTGAAAAGTATTTTACAAGCAAAAACACAAAAAGAAACAATTGTTTGATTCGGGAGAGGGGATAAGTTCCAATTCCAACATATTTCAGTACTATTTTTTTTTTTACACTAACTTACTACATTAATTACATTCACAAAAAGTATGAGGATGTCAACTTGAACGAACATTTCCGTAGTAAAAAGGTTATGACTGGTGGATCAAATATTTGATATGTAAATGAACCATGAAAGAGAAATAAAATGTAAAAAAAAGATGTAAAGATAATACGTTTAGGGCAAACCTTTACAGCAAGCTCGAATAAACATCTCTTAAACATACTGGTTGTTAAAATTTTATTCAAAAGAGAGACATTTTCTATATTATATTTAAATTCTGGAAAGACGAAGTTGGAAAACTTTCATTTGGTAGATATAATGCAGAATCTTTCATTCAATGAAGTTAAATTTTGTTTGCGGTACATATGTGTGTATATTTGGGGGGGGGGGGGGTGTATATGAATGACCCCGTAAAAAATGAGTTTGTTTTCCCTCTCATCGGAAAGGTTTGAAAAGTCTAATAGGAATGTTCCCCTTTTTGTGTCAAAAATTTTCATAAGGTTTAATAAATCAATTTTTAATGTGACTGTGGGCCCCTACACAGACCCGAAACTGCAACTCCCCTTTCATGATTCGCGAATTCGACACTGCGTGCATAATCTGAATATTACGGAAGCCCGTTGGTGCCACGTACGAAAAGTATTTTATCTGGCGACCGCCACTTATTATTTGGCGGCCGCCACATATATATCTGGCGGCCGCCACATAAATTATTTTGCAAAAAGTGAGTACGTGTTATTGGGTAAAGAAGATGGATGTTGACACAACCGCTGCTTATTGATAAAAAAGTAATGATAAAAAACGAATTCTGAAATATTGGAACACCATTCTTGGAAATCCACATCTTCGCTAGCCAAGGGTTTCTGATACGCTCCTCTCCTCATAAACCCTTGGCATACGGTGAAGTCAAAAGACGGGAATGTTTTCCGTCACGTGATCTCAAATCTATCAGGTACGCACAGATTGCGTCATCGCCAGAAATAAAGACACGTGTTAAAAAAAAAATTAAATCAAAGTTTTTTCAAGAATAATTAAGAAGCAATAATTGAGTTATGTTTATTCATTATTTATAGAACAAATCTGAAGCTTCAATATAGATTCTTAATCACATATTTAGAAGATTTTATCTTACGGATCGGTGTTTTCTTGCGTTTTTCGTTTTCGAGATTAAAGAGTGAAGATGTATCCCGAACGCAAATATCGTCATTTACAAAAAACAATTGCTGATTGGTCGACCTGGGTGTACTGAAATCCAATCAGAACCCTGGAAAAAAATCCCGATTTCTATGAACACCGTAGGCCAAGGGTTTATGAGGAGAGTAGCGTATCAGAAATCCTTGGCTAGCGAAGATGGAAATAGATAAATAAACAAAGTGGCTACAACTATTTGTTAAGAACCATTGTTTTAAATGTAAACTCACTGCAACAGGTATCACAGCCAATTGTGCCTAACGTTAATTTAACATGAAAATAACGTTAAATATTTAACGTTAAATTAACGTCAATCGAGCTTATACATGAATTTAACGTTAAAAAATTAACGTTATTTTCATGTTAAATTAACATTAAGCGTTAAATTAACGTTAATTAGTTCACACTTATTTAACGTTAAAATGCATAAAAATTGTGTGCATATTTTTGGAATTTTCCTTGTTATTCTTCCAGACAAATACATGTTATTGCCTCATAGCAGAAGCTTTAATGATACTACATGTAATCATAATTATTTCTCTAAAGGTACACCAGAAGCTCATCAATTTTGCACTTTTCCTTTAAGCACTGCAGAAAGCTAAGCTTGATGTTGACTTCATCCCTGGGGTCACTTTCTTTTCAATTTGAATATCCAAAAGGGTAAAGGGACCCATCAGCTCTTTCAACAAAATCCCTCAATTTCTGAGCATTGCCTTTGATTTCAAATTTTCTGAAGAAAAGAGAAAAACACCAATTCATCCATTAATACTTTTAATCAGGCATCTTCAATACAATGCTACAAATCTTCTTTCTTTTTTCCAATCTGAAAAAGAAAAGAGGCAAATGCTTATACTATAATAATTATTTGAAAAACACAGATCAGGTAAGTATTGAAAGGCTTACTTAATACTTATTGGGGGAGGGGGATTTGAATTTTCTATTACTTGAGATTGTCACTATTACAATACAGCTTACATGTATTTTTTGCCATACTTGAAAAGAATATTTTTAAAGATTTTTCCAATACATTACCTGATCTTCCATTGTGACCCCTTCTTAACCCCCAATCCCTGGGGCATTATTTGAATAAATTTAAATTTTCACTACATGCAGATCATGTCAATTTGACCAAACAATTTGTTCTGTTCTGGAGAAGATTCTTTTTCCTATGTATTCTTATGCAAATCTGTGATCCCTCATTGTGGCCACACCCTAACCCCTGGGGTCAAAATTTGAACAAACTTGAATCTACACTACCTGAGGATGTTTCCACATAAGTTTCATCATTCCTGTCCCAATAATTCTGGAGAAGATTTTTAAAAGGTTTTTCCTATGTATTCTTATGCAAATCTGTGATCCCTCATTGTGGCCACACCCTAACCCCTGGGGTCAAAATTTGAACAAACTTGAATCTACACTACCTGAGGATGTTTCCACATAAGTTTCATCATTCCTGTCCCAATAATTCTGGAGAAGATTTTTAAAAGGTTTTTCCTATGCATTCCTATGTAAAACTTGGATCAGCCCTAACCTCAAATCAAATTTGAATCTACACAACCTTAGAATGATTCCACATAAGTTTTATTTTTCCTGGCCCAGTAGTTCTTGAGAAGAAGATTTTTCCAATATATTCCAATATATTTACATTTGCATATGTTTTTCCTTTATATAACACTAATAAAAGCAAGCGTATCTATAACTGTATAAATACCGGTACAGGGGTCAGGAGGTCATGAGGGGTCATGAGGTCATAGATGTGCGTATCGATAAATGTTCAACATAATTTCTCAGTGACGTCATAAAGGGTCGAAACACGTTCAGTGTATTGCATACATGCCATTGGTTTGAAAAATAATGCATTTTGCATGTTAAAAGCCACAATCAGACAAATATAAAGTATGAATAATTCACAAATGTAAATGATAGGTAATAAGGTATCATTTTAAAATATCCAACGGGCTATAAATACGGGTTGGTACGAGATTAAATTCATTATAAAGCCCTTCAGGCTTTATGGAATTTAATCTCGTGAGTTGTGACCAACACGTATTTATATCCTGATAGATGTTTAAAAATACCTCATTTCTTAAGTAAGACTAAAATTCCATTGTAGCCCCACCCTACCCCAAGGGGTTGAAGAAGTTGAAAGTACACTACCTGATGATGCTTACATTTAAGTTCCATTTTTCCTAGCCCAGTGGTTCTTGAGAAGAAGTTGAAAATGTGAAAAGTTTACAGACGGACAGATAGACGTCGAACAAAATGTGATCTGAAAAGCTCACTTGAGATTTCGGCTTAGGTGAACTAAAAAGCTACTAGTATTTAAAAACTATATACTTCCATATATATTACTATACAGTGAGACTGGCAAACAGACATTGTGTTTTCAGTATACTGTAACAAAAATTTAGGGGTGACATATTAAATGGTTTTAAATATTTGATGTGTTCAGAATAAATGCACTTTACCTGGTATTTTGAAGGTCGCTCAAGATGATGAAATATATTCACTTTCTTGTGATTATCATGTTCATGACAGCAAGACTTTATACAGAGTAAACCTACAAAAATAAAAAAAAAATGATAATTAAAAGTTATATCTTCAACATATTCCTAGATAGAAACCAAAATTTGTGTGTAGCGTCTAATTTAAAGCAAAATTTAGTACAGTGAATGCAACCAGTGGCTTTATTAATTTTGTCTCTTTAGCATAAACTCTAGATCAAGTTATAAAATTTTTCTAAATGAATTTATGAATACGCTATGTATATACTATTTTATAAATAACCTTTATTCCTGGTTATCCTGCATTCCTGAAAAACATCAATTCAAGGAGGCGCCAAGGAATGGTATATAGAGGCTGTAGTCGGCTCTTTTCTCCATGCATGTCTTGCATACTAGTATCTTTTCTGCATTATGCAGTAGAAGAAAAAAACATCTTGATTTAATAGTGCTCATAAAATGTTTCTGCACAAACATTGACAAGTGTCAAGTAGTGACAATTAAGTACTGGTATTTTAAAAAAATCAGTTAGGGTGTTAATTTGAATGTAAATTTCACTGTCTGTGTCATTACATTTACCGTGGGAATTGTTTACATTTTGTTCCACTTTTAATACCTGTTTTGTGTTCCACTGGCATTATATAATTTAGGAAGCTAGTCCGACTTGATCCATTTCAGAAGTGCGAGGCAGGTATGGCACCGAGTTTCAGCTGTTTAAAATACAATAAAAAAATATTAAATAGTTTTTTCTCGTCAATGATGAAACCAATTAAGATGAACTGTTAGGATCTGGGAAAACATCGGTCACATTGCGTGTTTTACTTCAACTTCGAGATGGTAATTTAACTTGTACACGATTCCTACTTTCACTTTCGAATTTTCTCCATGTCATACGTAGGGCGGCACTGAGTACAGTATAGGCTTAAGTGTTCAATCAAATTTAACCAACAATTACTAGACCTAAAAAAAGTAATGCTGATATACAAATATCCATCATAGCAGAGGTCTGGTACATCGGCACAGTCTACGACACAGTAGCCTGCAAGCTAGAACTGTTATGTATGCGTAATATGCTGCAGAAAGTTCAAACATTTAACGTTAGGGGCCTCAGAAATTATGAAACTCTTAAAAACGTAATGTTACAAAGACAACAAAAACACTTACTATTAACATAGACTTGATAATATTCGTTTTTCCTCTGTGTTTCTCAACTTCTGTTACAGCTGATGACGTCAAACATGACGTTTTCGTCCGATAAAAAACAAAACCGATCCTGAGAAAAGTTACGGACCATTTTTAGCCGGAAAAAATCTAAATCCCAAATTGACATTTTGAAAGATAGACATTGAGCTTATGAATTCAGTCTAGATTAATTATAATTACTTTTTCAGAAATGTATGGAGAAAAAATTGGACGAGGTGAAGAGGGTGCAAACAGTTGGAACACCCCCCTCCCACACCCACACGTGTACACACCCTTACACACACAAAGGCACTTGTGTCGGAAATACTTTTTTAACCTAAGGTATCATACTAACACAACTGTTACATGTGTATCTTTATGTATTGGGGTTAAAAATTTATTTCCGACACAAGTGCCTACCCCCCCCCCCCTACCCCGGCGGTTTTGAGTATCCACATATGGACATCTAAATAATTAATTAAATGTCACTAAAATGATTGGCAACTATTGTTTAAAGTTAGGTCTAAATTTTGAATAATAACATTAATCTCATGTTATTCTTATTAACATGAAATTAACATTAAAGAATTAATGTTAAATTCACATTAACAAGAAATTAACATTAACTAATTAACGTTAATCTAATGTTAATATTTTGGTTCTAGTTTTTTAAGACAGAACCCAAGCTCACTTAAAATTTTAATGTTAATTTAATGTTAAAAATTAACATGAAATTAATGTTAAGTTAAATTAACGTTAAAAATTAACATGAAATTAATGTTAAGTTAAATTAACGTTAAAAATTATCGTTAATTTAATGTTAATCATTTTAACGTTAACTTAACAAGAAAGTAACATTAAACTAACATCAATGTAACGTTAATTCAATGTTAATTGAGATTAACACTAAATTAACGTTAGGCACAATTGGCTGTGTACAATTCTTTAAATGCATAGTATCAAGTCAACAAGAAAATGTTAGCCATTAAAGTAGTGCCAACCACTAGTCCGAAAAATCTTACGTTTTTCTGGCTTTTTTACTATTTTGATATTTTACATGCCAGGAAAACGTCAGAACCGGCGCCATTACGAAAACCGGGAAATTCACCGTCTCCACCCGAAGTTGATTTTCTATACTTTGAAACCGAATTAGATGCCGAAATCACAATTTATCAATGGCACAATGCTCTTAGAACTCACCAATATCGATGAATAGAAATTACCACTCCATATTCCGATTCAGAACTTGCACGATTTTAAAATGCACGAAATGAAAACGAATCTCAACAGTCAGATAAAACATCGGATTATATTATTTCATAAACGAAACATAAAAACGATGCTGGTGAGTACTAAAGATGTTGTACTATTGATAAAATGTGAATTCAGCATTTAATTCGGTTTACAAGTATCGAAAATCAACCTCTGAATGCCGCCTCCGATTGGAGGCGGCGATTTCCCAGTTTTTGTAATGGCGCCGGTTCTGACGTTTTCCTGGCATGTAAAATATCAAAATCGTAAAAAAGCCAGAAAAACGTAAGATTTTTCGGACTATGCCAACCACATGGCAATGTGTCAAAAATAGAATTAAAGAGACTGTTGTTCTATAAATAGCACTTTATATGAAAGCCCAAATTTATCAAAAGGATTACATTACAATGGTGTGTACAAAACAGGGAAATTGATGTTAGAAAATCATTTTTCTCCTTAAAAAATATAATATAATATGCTAAATAAGAGATTAAAAATCTGTAGGGTAATGAAAGTGTGCAATTTGAATGACAGTTGGCCCACAATATTTACTTGAGTCTTGTTCTTGTCGTGTTCTTCACATTTCTAAGACATTCTTGTCCCTCTTAATTCTCGTGAAAAACAAATATGAGTTAATATTTGGCCCCACCAAGGGGTCATAAGGCCACATCTAATCTAAAATTGATTCTGCAACATGAGGATATTTCATTATCAATATGGCTTACAAGGCTAATTCTAAAGAAAAATGTTTAACACCCCCCCCCCCCCCCCCCCCAAGTATGTATGCATACATTGACCAGTTATATAAAATCTGATCCCAGAAGAAAAAAAAATGAAAATACAAATAGGGAATATTTTAATATTGTTAATACATTGTATTAGGTCTGGTCCATGATTTAGACCAACTTGAATGTTCACCAATTGAGAATGTTCACATTGAATTATGAGTAAATCATTACCCTGTGGCTTGTTAAAAGACATTTTTTTTACTACATACTCCCATTTGATACCCTATTTTAGGGTTTAATTTTCATGGATGACAAATAAACAGAGTTAACAGACACAAGAGACCCTTTGATCAGAAAAGGTCCATAGATTCTTTTGCTAAAATGACCTAAGATATAAAAATGTCTTTGATTATTGTAAAAAAAAAATCACAAAGAAGAACAAAACAAAAGGATGATCAATGAACTTTTTTTTAATGCTTCATCACTTCCAGAATATTTTATTTCTTTCAACATGTTATCCAGCATATATAAGTTTGACTAATTTTATTTAAAAGTCTCTTTAAAGATAAAGGTATAATTCTATAAATAAACTTCAATCTTAACAATATAACTGCAGTATGAGAATATCTGATACCTGTGTTCTAAGCACTGGTTTCAAAAGACTGATTTAAAAACATTTTGTGCATTTAATGCACTGACAAGAATACATATAAACTAGGTAAAAAATTTAATTATAATATCCTTAACCAAGATCCCAAAATGTTCTTCATTGCAAACTTGTAGAAAGTTCATATATGTGTTTTTGTTTATGGTCATCATATGATCTTTTTCAACAATGTTCGGAAAATTCAACACATGTGTATATACTACCATGAAATCAGAAATAACTTTCAAATCACATTGTAATAAACTAGATCAGAGTCTTCATATGTTGCTGATATTTTCTCCAACACTGTTTTCCAAAAGATTAACTGTTGAGACAAACCAGCATGGACAAAACCTCTGTCATTAGAAGCATTTCCTCTCTAACTTTGAAATCTGTAAAATAATATAAAATAACACTGAAAAACCCAATACAGATCACTATCAAAGAAGAAAATTGAATTGAATGATAAATCTTTACAACATGACTAAGAAAGCATACTCAAATGTAACTTAAGATCAGTTAAGACTCTTTTATTTATTAATCATTTCTTCAGGTTTTCAATCTACCATTTCAACTAAAGAATAGAATTATATGCAAATTTCATCTTTAAAAAAAAATGCTAGTTATATCTTTATATTTGTTCAATTTTGCTGCTTATTTTCATTTGATGAACAATTCATATTTCATTAATTTAAATACTTTTCCCAATGACATCTCCATACACTAGCTGCAATAATCTGCAAATCAGAATGAGTATGGTCCAAAATGACTTGTATATAAATAGTACAATCTTGTGTGAATATCATTATATAAAGAATTATAAATACAAGAAGGATATGGAGATAACGAACAGTATTCAATCTCAAAGTCAATAAAACAATACAAAATAAAGAAGCAGAGCAAACACGGACCCCCGAAACAACAGAGGTGGGATCAGGTGCCATGGAGGAGTGAGCATCCCCTGCCGACCGGTCACACCCGCCGTGTGCTCCTTGTCATGATCAGGAAATAGCGGAAAAAAATCTGTTGTCAATTCAGTGTATAAATAATGGACTAACAACTGGTATGAAAAACGTCAGTCAGCATTTGACTCAATGATAAATTGTATTTGCTGACAAGGTCATTGTATCGAATGTATCTACGAAATGATGACTTTAAATGAGACTGCTGATATTGTTGATTCATCAACTTGCTTGTCAGTAATTTACCTCGTTTCAGAAATTGTTCATACGTAGAGCATACTCTTGCGTATCGAATCAACTGAGATATATATACTCCGTGTGCAGGTGATAAAGGTATATTGCTGCATAAGTAAGGGAAGTTGACGATAGAAAAGTTAAAGTCATCACGTTTATCATATAGTTTGGTTGTTAGACTACCATTAGCGTCTTTTTCAAGTAAAATATCCAAGTATGAAACAGAAGTGTCAGACTCTGTGGTATCTTTTATTTCAAGCTCACCAGGTTATATCGAATCGACAAAGGAATGGAAATTACCATTGTTAATTGACAATATGTCGTCGATATATCTAAATGTTGAGTTGAAGGCCACAGCAAGTGTTTTCTTCTTTTCACGCATAAGATTATGCATAAATTCTGCTTCATATGAATATAAAAATAAGTCTGCTAATAACGGAGCGCAATTTGTACCCATGAGAATTCCAATAGATTGTTGGAATACCTGGTCTCCAAAAACCACATAGATATTGTCAATCAGAAACTCAAGCATCTTCATGATGTCAACTTCAGAGTACTTATGTGTGCAATCAGAATCCGTTTTAACAAAATAATTTTGCAAATGACCAATGACGAGGTAAGTAAATTTACGAGTTCCATTTTTATTGAAGAAGCAGCTGTCAATGATATTAGAAAGCCTGGATTTTAATATGTCGTGGGGAATTGTTGTGTATAAAGTTGAAAAGTCGTAATTTTTAAGCTGGTGATTTTTGTAAAGTCAAAAAATAATATTTGAATGTCAAAATTTTGATTTACAAATAACACAACTGATTTACCATATTTGTTTACTACGTAGAGCCTTTTCACGTAGCCGTCATTGTACATTTAACTTTGAGTGACTGAGGCTCAATGAAGGATGATCCGATCTTACACAACTTAGTCAACTATTAATCGCTCATTAATGAACACGCATTCTCAATTTATAGTGCCAAATCGACTTTGGGAAAAGTCAAAAAATTTTGTGAGCTGAAACTAACATTTTTATATGTCATTTGAAACATGAAAGTGTATAGTAATTAAAAATCACAATTTGATTTACATACTTCATGCTGTGTTTTGTTGACCTCCTTCGAAATGAATGCGGTTGGAGGGCTAATTTTACACAAAGA